GGTGAAAATGCCAATGACTCGATCACAATTTTTTGATAGAGCGAGACGAGCGCGTGAGGGAGGGAGACGGGAAAAAAGTGAAGATTCGAAAATTCGAATTTCAAAAAATTGGTTGTGTAGTGAGCTGGCACGACGTTAAAAATTATAATAAAAATTAGATCCGACGTGTTACGGTTTGACCGCTATTAGAGCTTAGGTGAATACCTAAGCGGATTGTTGGGAATATTTACAACTAAGCGGTACTGCTAGTCAGGAGATCGAAGCGTTACTACAACTAAGTAACACCTGGCAATGCGTGGCTGGGTAGCAAGTATTGTGCCTAAGGATAAGTCATCAGTCTGGAGATTGACGAAGGGGACCAATTCTTATAAATACCTGTTAGTCGTAGCCAGAGTTCTCTTTTCTCCTCATATAGTTTAATAAATCGATTTATTCACAACCAACTCGGTTTCCGTCACACGACGCATGAACTATTTTTCATCATTTATTATGTACTCAGCTATTTAGCGATGAATTATGATCGGTGCTGGAGGGCAAAACTGAACACCGTACGCGGTGTCCTCTACGAAGCTGGGAGTGAAATATTCTCCCAGAGCCAAGTTCAGCCAAATTTCGCAATATCAAAGAAGTTGGCCCACGAGGCAAAATTTAAATTACTCCACCACGTCGTTTTTTCACTCTCAATGAGTTCGATTCCTACCAAAGCCTCATTAAGTCTACAAGTACGACCAATTACATCCTCATCCCAATGACCACACCACTCCTCGACCTTCTCTGGACTCAGTCGGTCACCAAATACACGCCCACGCCGATATTTACACCCGCCGGAGGATGCAAGGCGTGGCGCACAAATCTGGGAGACAGTTCTTTAGGATGGACGCGAGAGGGATCAGGACAAGTTTACAAGATGATGCAAAGGAAGGATATAACCTCGAAAGGCGTGAAATTTTGAATTTTTGCATGGAGTTTTTACAAATTGAGCTTTGTGCGTGACAAGACTTCGGCTGCGAGAGTGCAGCTAACACTATAAACACAAGCAAACGATGGAAGGTGTTGTGGTCCGCCTTCTGGTGGTGTTCTCTGGTATAGTTTGAGTAGCCTGGGCACCTACTCCACTCGGGAAGAAGATACCTCAGACCACATTTCGCGCGGAGAAAAGTTGAAAGGTGATGGAGGCATGTCTGGATAACTCAGGGTTTTTGAGACGTTCCCCTGGGTGGGTATTCACGGATGAGGGATGACTTGGGGTGAAGAAATAGCCGCCATAACTTCGCAGTGGTACTTGCAAATGAAATCCGAGGCAAGAGTGCTCTTCCCCTACGTTGAATCATCTATTCTGTTCTTTTCTTTGATATTGTGTCATAGCTAGAAAGCTGTATACGCAATTAAAATTTGATGCAAAAAAAAATATATATATGATCGGTGCTGTATATACATGTTGTATAACTCTTGTGACGTTGGAGACACTCACAATCTGAATTTCAGTCGCAAATACCACTTAGGGATGCTTGTTTATACAAACAGTCGACCCTCCTCCATAAATGTACACCAAAGTGAATTTCAAACCCTTTGACTATCTGAGCATGCCTTAGCTTTCCATGACTATCAGCGCCGCGAGAAATGTGGTTGTGTTTTGCCGGATTTGGACCAGCCATCTCCTTTCTCGAGTGGGATAGGTGTCAATAGTCTTGCACATAAATAAATTATTCAATTTTCCTGAACTGGCGCCTTTAGGCTCATATAGGTTTTATTGGAAGTTATGTCCTCTAAGCAGGATGACTTTATTTGATATTGAGAACACTCACACTCAGATTTCATTTGCAGATACCACTCGAGATTAACCCTTGCGGCGTATAACCTCTTCCGAGCATACCCGCCACAGGTAAAAGCTTGAAAACCCTATGGGTTATCTGAGTGTGCTTTCATCATCCCAAAAGTACAATATCACCGCGAGAGAGAGTGGTGTGTGTATCTGACTGGTTTCGAACCAGCTTTCTCCTGTCACGAATGGGGTAGATGTTCAAGCTACCCAGTATCTACTTGAGAGAAGGGCCTGGATGGTGTACCACTGCACCATTCAAGCCTGCGATGCGATACAGATGGTGTTAGCGCCTCGGCAAAACTCATAGATTTCAGAAACATCCAAATCAACGACTACTCCTGTAGTAACAACCCCGTCCTTATTGCCGTCGATATCACAGAGATTGACCCCATGAAACCAACAAACTGTCCGAAAAAATACAACAGGATGCTAAATTCGGAAAATTTGATGCAAAGTTAACCGGCAAATTAACAATGTTTTGGATGCCATCTTGTCATTTTATCAAACAGACTCCGCAGTGTTAATAGGCTTACAGAGATATATGGAGGCTTCGATTGTGAACGCGCCAATTTTGAACAATAAAAATTCAACCACATTAATAGATAGGCAATGTATGTAGAGAATCCTGAAAATATTGTTTGATTTGATTTCATTTGGCCTTGTCAGGTACCCTGTTGGCCCATGCAGGTATATCTAGCTATAGTGTTTACACAGGAGGAAACTAAATTCGGTAAAAACCCCCTACTACTGTCTGTCTCATGTATATTGGTTTTCTGAGATTTCCTACAGGAAGTGCGTTTACACTGTTCATGCAGTGTGAATTCCGTCTTATCCTTGTCCACATTGTCTCATCTTTTCGTCCAATGCTATTTCTACTTCTCCTGCAAGCCGGAATTGTTAAAATCAGCCTTCTGCCAGGATCAATTTTGTGATCCTCTCTATATCATCTGGGCTGTTCATCAATGCCGCAAATGACCTGTATTTTGCCTTTCGAAGCACCTCTCCTCTTCCCATTGTCCACTGAGGACACGCCAAGACCATATGTTTGACATTTTGAGACGAATATCCACACTGGTATTTTGGATTAATCACTCCGGGGACTTTCCTTAGATACAGATAAGAATTGAGACCAATGTGCTCACTTCTTATTTGAACTGCAATACTGCTTTGGGCCCTACTAAGGTTCCGGTGGATATTTGAGGATGTGTTTCTATGTGTAATCCTTTTTCTACCTGTTGTCTCATCTTCAACAATATTTGGGGCTCTCCAATGTTCAGGTTCTGCCGAGGCTCGATGACCAGAAAGTATCTCATTCCCTGGACATGTCCATGGGTTTTTCCACTTCTGAAACGGGGCTACCTTACCAGCTTCTTTCTGTCTCCCCTTCGCATTCTCCATGCCACAAATTCTGGTCCATTCTTCAATGTCTTGCTTTGATTCTTGGCGTACCTGTTCTCGGTTCCCCTTGTGGTCTGCTTGACTTTGCTGAACGCGGTACTATAGATCTCCTGACAGGTAGTCCTTCTGATAGTCCGACTGAAAATATTGTTGTTAGAATTTAGAATAATTGGGGCTATTAAGTAGGCCACGTTGTTAATACACACGTGACTGCAAATTCTGTACCTAGTTTCGCTTCGGTAGTCATTTGAAACAGGATGGTGTACAACCTCAATGACAGAGGGATCATTATTTCCTCAATATTTCTTGTAATTTTTATTCCAATTTATTGTTCTATATACCGGAAAATCTAACAACTCAACGCAGAAGATACTTTTGCTTCCAGTTGTCGGGTACCTTGGGTTATTGCATTGATGTATTACATGATGCATGGCTTGAGAACCCAAGGATAGACCAGTTATTTATTTCCTTCCGAGGAAGGTAATTCATACCTGGTCGGTGGGTTTGATGGCACATTAAATATCTTGGCTTATTTAATGACGGCACTTCGTTGGTAGTCAATCAATCATCGCCTCTAGGCAAAACACGATATAACTATATTCCATTCAACCTCGAAATTTTTCCAACTTGAAAATGACTCAGGTTTCTCCACATGCAATTTGAAAATTAATGCAAAGACCGAGCCTGGCATTTGAAGGTGAGATTGCTGATTCGGCTATAGCCTATGCTGGAATCTAAAATGGAAGACGCTGCTAGCTCGAGCCTTCACTTGCGAGACTTGGCGAATCTGATATTGAATGATAGAAAGCTCGACCAAGCCATTGAAACCTGAAAACATGTAACTGAAAATAATCGGGGCCGGATTAAGTGCCTTACACAAAGCTTGAATGAAACACAGGCTAGAGTATATACTTTACAGGGAGAACTGCTAATGAAATTCAATTGTATTTTGACCGACCTGACAATTGTTTTTTCCATCTGAATTTTTTGCTGTAAAGAGAAATAAACATTGACTGTGATTGGTGTTATGCAGCGATTGTCTTGCTTTCGCTAAGACAGACGCACCAAGATGCGAAGTCAATTTGCAACCCCAAAGTCTTTGGTACCAATTCAGGCTAATAATTTTCTTGCCTTAGTCCTCATTTACAGCCCATAGGATACTGTAGGTGCGTTGAGGTTTGTAGGATTGACAGGGGATTCACGTTTAGAGGTACAACCGACTTAAGATGGGATGTAAAATTGTGGGAATAAGTTCTTCGAGTGATCCTTGTGAGATCTAGTCGAGATGATATGGGCTTGGAAAACAATTTTTGTCTCCCCTCAGACGTGAAAGATCTGGGTGGTGAACTTGCGAATATACTTATCGGAGTCTATTGCCCCCTACTTGATGTGAGTTAAACTATCAGCACGTCTATTTTGTGAGGAACAATTCCTAGATCTGCAGGACATCAGCTCGTTTACTCCCTTTCTACCTCGAGTCATGCATGATTCATATGGAGCACTTGAGACGACTGCATTTATCGCCGTCTGTGTGCTAGACATCGGAGTCGGGGTCTACATCAACTGGCTTAGGGTTCCGCTGTGCTTCCTTAATCTTACATAGTTTTGAATCCGTTACTGGCGCTTACATATTCCTTCAAGTTATCCCTGTAGTCCTGTCCACCATTCATGTATGCACGTTTGCACACAGTCCTCTACATCCGCGCCGGAACAATACTTCGATTCCGTGCCGATAATGGTCAGTGCATACATATTACTTATTAGCTAAATAAACACTCGTCAGCTTCTGCCGGGGCTAAAGCATCAGCTAATAATCGATTCGCCTTCTACATTCAACTTCATCGCTCTCGTATTCGCACCAAAATCGGTCAGCACCCGCTGCAACCACCACGCAGCTCAATCAGCTCACGATACCGTCTTCACACATTTCAATGAGAAGGATGATCCAAGAATGCAGTTTTCCGCGTGCCCTCAACTCTTAGCCGCTCTCTTACTATTTCTCCCTTCCACTGACACGGCTGCCAAAGCCTTTGCGCCTACGAGTTCTTCAAATCATCCAAAAACATCAAATTCATTGCAAAACAAAGATATTAATGGAACCTGCAAATTTCGCACTATCAATTACATCACAGACTCACTGCCGCAACAATGCTTCAAAAATACGTGGAGTGCTGCCAAAGCAGCTGATCCAAACCTTTTAGATAGCGGAGGGAGAGATTCAGCAGGAAATATAACTGCGACGCTCCTTAACATCACAAGCAACATTATAGGGATTTATATCGATAAACAAGAGCTCTCCATTGTTAAAACTGAAGAGATTTTACCGACAGAAGACGCTGCGCTAGATCTTAGCGACAATCAGTCCGCCTTTCTCTCCTTTGAGGAATGGAAGAAATTAACTCTTGAGAAAGCTGGCCAAAAAGATGTGAATATATCGCCCAAGAAACCCAATTATTCTAAAACACGAGAATTCGAAAACTACTCCAACAATTTAGAGTCTTTAGGAGACGAGGGAAAAATGGATTTGAAATTTACTTTCAGATCCGGTGGCGAGGAGTTAAACACTGCTGAGTTTCATGAGACCAATAAGGGTGAAAGTATGGTTCCTCGGGGACAAAAAAAAGAGAGTTATCGCAGTAAAGATGCTGGAAAGACTTGTAAGGAGCGTTTCTCATATTCTTCATTTGATGCTGGAGCCACGGTACTAAAAACGCACGCTGGGGCGAAAAATGCGAAAAATATTCTCATTGAGAACAAAGATTCATACATGCTTTCAGAGTGTTCATTAGAAAATAAGTTTATAATAATAGAACTTTCTGTTGGTCTCTACACCACCAATTTCTGATTTAGAACTGACACAACAGCAGGAAGATATATGGATTGACACGGTTGTACTGGCAAACTACGAATTCTTTTCTAGCATGATACGCACATTTCGCGTCAGTGTCTCTGATCGCTATCCTGTAAAGCTTGAAAAGTGGAAGGATATTGGCACCTACGAAGCACGAAACTCAAGAGAACTGCAAGCTTTCTTAATTGAGAATCCACAGATTTGGGCTCGCTATATTCGGATTGAGTTTCTCGATCATTATGGCAATGAATATTACTGCCCTCTAAGCTTAGTGAGAGTGCATGGTACGAGAATGCTGGAAAGCTGGAAAGAGACGGAATCTGCAGATGAAGATGCAGATGAGGCAGAAGACAACCCTGAATTGATAGATCAAATCCACGATACCAGCGCTAGCAATATGTATAGCAATGACCAGGCTGACCAAGTCGAACAGGTCTACATTGAGCAAACTCCTCCCCCTAGCCAAACAATGCTAGGTCTAAGTACATGGAGGGATCCTGGACTATATATATTTAATAATAGAAATTTTTCAGAAGATGTATGCCCATCTCACGGTCTAGTCTCGCGAAATATTGCGCCTGAAATGAATAACACGGAAAGCTATTCGGAAGACGCATCTCCTTTGACAGATGTCCCCCAAGGTTCAACGAACAGTACTATTCTAGTGCCTTCGACGACATTTAGCACAGTTACTCAGAGTGTTTTGGAAGCAATATCAAGCTTGCCAATCATACTTAACTCATCGCCCACCGATACATCGGTCTTGTCCTCCGAGACTGCTCAAACTTTAAATGCGCAACATAGCCCTATCATTGTACCCACGGCTAGTGGTTATAATAACACTTCTAGTACGCCTGTGTCATCTAAGAATAAGGTCACTCAAACTACGACATCTCCTTCGGCTCTACCAACTATCCAGGAGTCCTTTTTTAAGGCCGTTTCACGCCGTCTCACCCTTCTTGAATCAAATAGTACGCTTTCTTTAGCGTACATATCTGAAGCGACGTCACATCTTCATCAGGCTTTCACTACCCTCTCCCGAAGTCTTACCCGTACTCAACTTAATAAAACAACTGCATTCCTTGACTCTCTAAATAGTACTGTTTTATCGGAGCTCCGAGGATTTCGGCAACAGTATGATGAAATATGGCAGAGCACGGTCATTAGTTTAGAGAGCCAAAGGGATGAGAGTCGACAGGAAATTTTGGCCGTCAGCGAGCGGCTGAATATTCTAGCCCAGGAAGTGGTCTGGCAGAGAAGAATGGGAATTATACAAAGTATTCTCCTACTTCTCTGCCTTGGTTTTGTCATTTTTTCCCGCGTTTCGACACCATCTGAGCCCTTTTTTATAAGACCTAGATCGAGGGCTTATATGTATAACCGAGCTGATCCACGATACTGTAATGGTGATTCATTGAGTGACCCTGAATCTCCTAACCAATGGTATGAAAACAGAAATTCAATCAATCAAACACCCAATTGTGCTCAAGCTGGCTCAAGACATTACGTCTCCCATCGAACTTACGAAAATCAAAAAGGACCTGGTCATGTGTCAATCTCAGAACCACCTACCCGCAGACCAGCTCGTAGTCCCCTCATGGGCTTTTTTAGCCGATCTGCACAATCACCTTTGACTTTCGATGACAATGAGCAGCTTACCCCCACAGAATTAATTCCTGATTCGCAATCAAACGGTTACTTTAATGTCCCTGGCTCCCCATCTTTTTTCCAAAGATTTCGCCGGGCAAGACCATCGCTCCAAGCTCGATCATCTGGTATCTCGGCTAGCGCTCATGTCAGTATTCGGGAAAATGAGAGTATTCAGGTCTCGGGTAGAGCGAATGAAATTCCATCATCTTCCGACTCGCATCAGGACGGGTACTGCACACCGCCACAACGGAATCCAGAATCGACTCCCGGCACGAAAACCTTTCAAACTCCAGATTCCCATCCTAGTAGGTCGTGTGAAAAGGAAACCTCCGCGTCGGAATTAATGTCCACGTGGTCTCTAGAAAACTCGCCCGAGTCGAGCATTGTGAATAGATCAGCTTTCTCAAACCGTCCTACATGGCCTGAAAGTCGAGCGATATCTCTGCAACGACGGGCAACAGACGCCAGTGCTACTTCTAGTGTAATGAGTGAAGGTCGAAATGGGCGTAATTGTTCAAGTATCAGTATTGCGACAAAACCTCTCCCAGCGCTACCAGATCAGGCATGAACTCTAACGATATATTATTTAATGTGATATGATGTAATGTACTTTCCGGACAAGGAAGTGTTTTAGTTGACGTTAGCGAGAGATATGAAGCTGTACAGCTAAGCTGGTCAAGCTAGAATGTTGGAGAATTAGCGCTGGCGTTTGAATTATGGCTATAGACCAATCTAATATTTTTTCATGGGATTAAAATCCTACTTCGCCGATAGAATGCGCATATTTTACCTAGTCTTTGGTGCACACGTCTTCAGCATAATCTCTCCCATTCTTAAGTGGCCCAACAATGAATCCGCAGATGAAATTTGACACAGTCTTACGGGTTGATCGTGGGTTACCTTGGCTGAATACCTACGTAGTGTTTATGGCAAAAAAGGTTGTGTGTTTTACATTATCTAGTATCAAGCAATTAAATGCCATTACGCCACACTAGCAAGAGGCCGGGAAGGAATGCAGGACGAAGTACAATTGTGTGACGCCCCGACATTTTAGTGGCCACGTGGTCGTCGGTCCAATAGTTATTAAGCCGACATAGGGTCAATCCAGGAATTCCAACGACTAGTTTTACACACACACGAGTCTTGTGTGTGATAAATCACGATACGAAAGGTTTGTCATGGATATTGGTTTTTATGCGAAACCCTTGGGTTGTAGGCAATGAGGGACAAGAGGTTTCGTGTTGGCAACTTTATTTCAACAGTTTAATTCCTATGTACATATAGACAGATTCAGATTCTCCTAGATACTTTTCTCTTTAGTTTAGAATCTTATGATTTGAGTCCACGCCAGCTTTTGACCACTCGCTAATCGTCTTTTGGCCCTCGAGTTTCCACAAATTGCCAAGTGAGAGATCCGAGCTAAGTGCCTAATATAGTGTTACAAGATTTTAGGTTCTTCAGCAGAGTGTAGACTGAGTGAACTAAGACATATAAATAGTTATTGCCCGTAGTTGTATGGCTTCTTGCTAGAAATGAAGACCGAGTATATTTGACTTATGGGTCCTCCATTTCGTCTGGGTTCCCAAAAAAACTTGTGTAATAAAGAGGATGGAATGTGTAGTATGGTGGCATTTCAGGTCACCTGATGGATACATGAGCTACTGAATGGCGCGGGCACAAGGAGTTTCTCGGCAGAGAGAGATCGCAGCCACTGTTCCGAACCAGGTGTAGTCGGGGTGCGATGGTGTCCAGGATATGTCGGCATAACGGGCAATGAAACTGCTGACGCACTTGCTAAACAAGCATGCTCAGCCCCTATCTCCAACAATCTCTCGATACAAAGCCTCTGTATCCCTGTACTAGTCTCCAAACGCTCCTGAACGATACCAAAAACTGGGAATTAATGCCAATATTGGGAGCTCCCCCGAACTCAAGAGCCTTGACCGCTACGCTCTTTGCCGCCTTCTTGCAGCTCTCTCAGGTCATGGAGACTTTGCTAACTACCACCGCCGCTTTCAGCACTCGGACGCTCTTCTAATCTGCGCTTGCGCGCTAGAAAAGTCTCCCGAGCACTTCTTTTGTCGACTCGATCGGAGTCGGTCCCGCCTATACAGCAGAAATAAACACCAAACCATGGGAATTCGCTGCATTCTAGGCTCTCCCGAAGGAGCCATAGCTTTTAGTAAATGGCTTCATGAGACATGCTTTTATGAAGCATGCCACCACAAGACTAACTAGTACTCCAAATTATAAACACTTGGCCTGTATTTGCTAGAGCTCAGATTAAAAGACTTCTGGTCTAGGTGATGGATAGCTTTCCTTTTCATCTATATATTTATCTTCTCTACCGTATTAGAATACAGAAGTCTCAGCTGTAGAGCACTTTTGACTTCTTTCGATAGTTCGGGGTGCATGGCAGGTGGGCCTTGGCCCATTTATAACATGTCGGGCTTATTTAAAGGTATCCTCACGTCGGATAGTTTATGTAGACTAAGCTAGCCAACACGAGATCTTATGATTATTTTGTTTTATTATTTTTGTCCTAAGCTAATACTATTTTTTCCATAATGGGTCAAGGACAGGTGGAGCCGGTGAGGATCACTGTATACAGGCCCAACTCATTCTAACTGCGTGAACTTCCACATAAATAGTGGTGTTAACAGCAAGACTAAAATCATAAACAAAAATCAAATTCAGAAGAAGTCCCAATTAGGTCCGGATCCCGTGCTTCTCGCCCGTTCCCTTGCCTGTCACATCTTCCAAGTGACAATATCTGTCAGGCGCAGGCTCACTAGGCGTAAGACTTGAGGCGTAAGGGATGGCGTAGCGTACGATGTACTGAGGATAGAAGCCTCGTGGGAACGCAGAGGGCTTTCTAGAAAGTTAATAAAGAAGAACGCGGGGAGTCGTTCTGGATAAAGTGGCCGGAGGTGACGGTAGGTCACTGTGGGTGGCAGAGGACGAGAGTGAGATGTAATTGGAATTATGTAACTATTCCTAAAGACAGAAAACAAAGCGTGAAGATCTCAGTATTCGAAGTGAAAACTACATAACTATCCTCGCTAGGCCATAAGCCTAGTGGTGGAGGGCAAGACTGAACACCTGTACGCGGTGTCCTCTACGAACCTGGGAGTGAAATATTCTCCCAGAGCCAAGTTCAGCCAAATTTCGCAATATCAAAGAAGTTGGCCCACGAGGCAAAATTTAAATTACTCCACCACGTCGTTTTTTCACTCTCAATGAGTTCGATTCCTACCAAAGCCTCATTAAGTCTACAAGTACGACCAATTACATCCTCATTCCAATGACCACACCACTCTTCGACCTTCTCTGGCCTCAGCTGGTCACCAAATACACGCCCACGCCGATATTTACACCCGCCGGAGGAAACAAGGCGTGGCGCACAAATCTGGGAGATAGATCTTTGGGACGGACGTGAGAGGGATCAGGACAAGTTTACAAGATGATGCAAAGGAAGGATATAACCTCGAAAGGCGTGAAATTTTGAATTTTGGCATGGAGTTTTTACAAATTGAGCTTTGTGCGTGACAAGACTTCGGCTGCGAGAGTGCAGCTAACACTATAAACACAAGCAAACGATGGAAGGTGTTGTGGTCCGCCTTCTGGTGGTGTTCTCTGGTATAGTTTGAGTAGCCTGGGCACCTACTCCACTCGGGAAGAAGATACCTCAGACCACATTTCGCGCGGAGAAAAGTTGAAAGGTGATGGAGGCATGTCTGGATAACTCAGGGTTTTTGAGACGTTCCCCTGGGTGGGTATTCACGGATGAGGGATGACTTGGGGTGAAGAAATAGCCGCCATAACTTCGCAGTGGTACTTGCAAATGAAATCCGAGGCAAGAGTGCTCTTCCTTTACGATAAATCATCAATTCTGTACTTTTCTTTGATATTGTGTCATAGCTAGATAGCTGCATACGCAATTAAAATCTGATGCAGAAAAAAAAAAAAGACTAGTGGTGCTAGGCAAGGAACCCATAAATCCTGCCTGAGGCCTTTCTCCAGAATCCTCACAATATCTGATCTTCTTTTTTTTTTTTTTAAATCATTTAATGTGTATTCAGCTATAGAGCTATGACACATGACCGGTGCTATGTTTACATATTGGATGACTCTTTTGACGTTAGAGACACTCATACTCTGGATTTCATTCGCATATACCACTATGAGGTATGCTTGCTTACACAAACAGTCAACCCTCCTCCGTTAGTACCCACTAAAGGGAATTTCAAAACCTTTGGTTATACAAGCATGCCTTCGTCATCCATGCACACCAGCGCCGCGAGAAATATGGTTGTGTTTTGCCGGATTTGAACCAGCGATCTACTGTCTTAAGTGGGATATGTGTCCAAGCTATCCAGACTCTACTTGGCAGACCAACCAAGACGATGTACCACCGCACCATCCAACCATGGCGGTGTTTATAGTGTCGCCTGCACTCTCGCAGCCGAAGTCTTGTCACGCACAAAGCTCAATTTGTAAAAATTCCATGCCAAAATTCAAAATTCCACGCCTGTTGAGACTGTATCCATCCTTTGCATCATCTTGTTAACTTGTCCTGAATCCTCTCACGCCAATCCCAAAGAACAGTCTCCCAGATTTGTGCGCCACGCTTTGTGTCCTCCGTCGGGTATAAATATCGGCGTGGGCGTGTATTTGGTGACCGACTGAGGCCAGAGGAAGTCGACGAGAGGTGTGGTCATTGGAATAAGGATGTACTAGGTCGTACTTGTAAACTTGATGAGGCTTGGGTAGGATTCGGACTCGTTGGGAGTGAAAATTTGACGTGGTGGAGTAGTTTGAATCATTGCCTCATGGGCCAACATGTTCGGTATTGCGAAATTTGACTGAACTTGGCTCTGTGAGAATATTATACTCCCAGGTTCGTAGAGAGCACCACTGACAGGTGTTCAGTCTTGCCCTCCTATCTGATCTTCGCTGAGAGCAGATAATCGACTTTGAACTTGATCGTCGACTTTGTATATTGGTCTGTTATCACAGACACGGAAATAGATTCATGAGATTGCTTTATGAGAGGCTAGGATTAATTCCGATATAAGTTTGATTGAAGACTTGTCCTACAATTTAGAGGCTACAATATCTTTATATATCTACGTATTTACCCCCATATTCACCATATCCGCTAGCCATTCTATATATAGCGTGCGTAGCCTGATTTATCTCACGGTTCTGGTTTGGAGCTGTAGTTTCCGAATAGCAGTATTCTTTTAGCTACTACAATACGTAGCAGCTTCAGACATAGTTTACCGTGCGATACTTCCACCTGAGCTACATGCCTTCTTGATATGCTGCCGGCTCGGTAATCAGTGAGAAAACCGAAGCTAAACCTTAACAATGACCTTAATTACGAACCCATGAATACCTAAGACAGAAGCCTGCAATCTAACACAATCAGGTTAGGAATTGCCAACTACAACCTAATCCAAACAGCAGAAGATGAGCTCGCAGGCACCCTTTCTCCAACCTGTGTCCTACTATTAACGTGTTGAAGCCTCCATGACTTCACTGGGCCTGGCCGTAACCTTAAAC